GCTTTTAATAAATATCAAAGATTCTAACGTTTTTTCCTTTCTTTCCATTTTCTGTCTACTTTTCTGACAATGTATGTCACTGTGATGTCATTACTGTGAATACATAATACACAGTGACTCCTGTGTATCATTACAGCCCAAGTAATAATAAACTTCAATGTCAGCAAAAAAAAAAAACAGCCAGTGGGTAGCATGCAAATAGCGAGACATGGCTTGTAATCATAACATGATTTCTTAAAGACTTCACCTGTTGTATGACATAGATGCTGTAGTGAATCTGCTGTCTCTGCAGAAATGGATGAAGATGGTAGAGCAGGGTTCTCAGGTGGGATTGGCGGTTCCGGTACGGTACCACTATTGCTGTGTGGTGCCTGGGTTCACAGTCTGGAGGCCGGTACCGCCCTCCTGGCGTCACTAAGGGATTCCTCTTTCTAATCTGATCCAGAGTCAGAGGGGAAGAAAGATGGACATACACTGGTCCAACTGGAAAAAGAGAGGCAGGAGGAAAGACAAACAGGAGATGAGGAGGAAATCCACACACTCATTAAGGTGTCAACATTCCAACTAATCCTAAAAAAAAAAAAAAAAAAAAAAAAAAAAAGGCTGCTGCACCATAGTTGGGGCAAAAATGTGTTTGCAACCCCAAAAAATGTCTGCTTAAGTTGAGGTTGAGGATGGATAGGACTTTGGGTTCCACCTTTGCCACTTAAATTAAAGTGCATCTTATAAAGACCTGAAGATCAGAAGAGAATCTGCTTTAATTTATGTTTATGCAAAATGTTGTGATTTCTTTAGGAAACAGAACTGAAACAGAACTAAATGAAAGAGAAACAGAACTAAAGAGGAAACTTTACCCCTCAGAAACGTTGTGTGGTTGTATAAAATGTCTAAACCAGGGGAACCTGTGGTGTTCGACATTTTTGCAACCACTTTTTTTTGCACAACTGATGACTGACTCTTCCAGCAACACATTGCATGACATTTTAAAAAGTAACAATCTCATGGGTAAGGAAGTAAGCATTCTTAACTGTCATTTAAGTCTCCTTACCCAGAAGTGGTGACGGAAACTGGCACTCTCTTAGTGGTAGTCCAGTGCCAGGAGGTCCAGTCCCAATGTTCCGAGGTGGAAGTGGAAGCACTCCAAAATGGTTAGTGAGGTTGGTGTAGACATCATGAGGTCTGGAATAATCAAACTCCTGCTCCGTGGGATGAACCAACACGGAAACCAAACCTTTAAACCCCCCCAGGGAAAAATAAAGGACAAAGGCAAACTGGAAACCAACCAACAAAGCTAGAGTGCATGGGTAGTCCAGAGAGCGTCCACAGTACGCCATGGCAGAGTCAAGATGTTCAGAGTCCACCAAGATAAAATATCCAGGTGACAAGAAAGCAAACAGGAGGAGCTAGAAATGCCTAGGGGACGGAGCAACCAGGAGCTTTAGGATAGAGTATACGTTGGGGTAAGGCAGAGCGGCAGGGGGTGGGGCCAGCAGGGATAGCTGCAGGATCAACTAACCATGTGTGGAAGATCCATCTGTAAGTGAAAAGAGAAGTGTTGAAAGTCAGTTAGCACCGCCATCATCACCGCTTCCCTGCAGTCCACAGGTGTGGGAAAACTGTACGTTATTCTTGACAAATATAATGTTTTGTTAATGCTAATACTACTACAGATAAGGAATCACAGAATGGTGGTAATATCAAGATACAGCAATATTTCTGATAATCTATACACGAACAAATAAAATAAAACATGAAATAACGTGATCATAAAATAAAAGAGAAATTTAGGATTAAGATAAGTGTTATCACCTTTGTCTGTGATCAATGCTCATTCACACAGGGTCTAGTCTTTATGAACATAAAACTAACATTTGTACCTATATTATCTGCTAATCCAATCATAGCAACCACAAGTTAGTAATTTTTCAGACTTCAATTAGAAGTTCAGCAGAGTTGTTTGTGATTCTGTGTAATGAATTCCTAAAGAGTTTAACCTTATCTAGTTTTCTTCCACAATTCCATGTCTTTATGTTGCCCTCAATGAACTGTCAACACGCCCTGTCCCTGAAAATATTAGGCCATAGAAGTTAAACAAATAGTTAAATTTAGACAGGAGTTAAAGAAAACTGAGATATTATATAAATAGGTAGGTTATTTCTGTTATAAATATAGGAAATATGATTATGAATGTAATGCTACCACAAAACTGCTAAAAGTTAGCAAAGAAAACTAAAAAGTAACCAGGAGCAACTAAATAATTATTCTTCAAAAGCTAATTAGTTACAAATATAGCGACATTTTCTAGATGAATCCAAAATCCGTTAAGATATCTAATTATATGTATCTAAAATTGGAATAGAAATAGCTAGCATTCAGCCAGAACGTAGCACTAACTTTGCCAAAAAATTTCAGACTTCAATTAGAAGTTCAGCAGAACTAACCAAGAGGTGTAGCATAACGGTTACATTTGATTTAACAGAAAACAATGCTAGGAAATGACAAAATAAACAAAATAAAATGAACTACTAATACAAAATAAAACCTTTTTAAGAAGAGAAGCAAGAGACAAAAAAAAGATAAGAGCTATTATAGCTAATATAAACTACAGCTCCTGTGTTAGCTTAGAAGTTTACTTTAGCAAAGCAGCTGTTTAAGCCTCAAGTCAACAAGATACAATGCACCTGGTAATCAGCGGTTAATCAGGTTCTATAGTGACCGGAACTACTCGTTCTCTACAGATTGAGCATCGTAGGAAATAGAGATTTTAAAAATGTCAAAGACTAGACTAAAGATAGTTAAAACAGGCAAAATAACTAAGCTATTTAAATCTATTGCTTTCACTTTAAATTTCTTCTCCTATTTCTTAGTTTGTAGATTTTTAATGTAATTTTGTAAAAGCAAAACAAAAAGTTTTTCAGACCAATTAGACTAAACGTAGTTTAAGTACTGTTCGTTAGCTTCTACTCCTTATCAGGCCAGTGTTAATGATTGTGCTTTCATAGTGATGCACAATGTCTGTATAAATGCGCATTTCTGCTCGATTCCAGGTTATTTATTTCCTTTATGGATGTAATTATCTGCGCAGCAACACTAGCTTTAGCAGCAGCACTAGAAGAGGTGGAGCACCGACTCACCAGCGCATCCCTGCGGACTCACTAAATTCAGCACCAGGCTCTGCTTGCTCTTACAATCCACGGGCCGCAGTCACCGAGTGAAAGGGAAATCTCCTCCTCGATTCTCCTCTTTCTCCTCTTCATAATAATCAAAAATTACAAGAATACCCTCTCCTCCGAGAGACTATTCACCAAACAGCTGTTTACACACAGCGGCATCGCCGCATCAGTCGAATGGAATCAGACTCAAACAAAACAACACAAACAGAAGATGCAGCGGCAGCCTTTGTTGCGTCTTGACGTAACACCCAACAGGGCGTTGCGTGGTGACGTAAAATCATTGCTAAGAAAGAAAAAAAGAAAAACAGGAGAAAATTGTAGCTTATCATATATGTGGTATTTTCTCATTGTCAATCAATTATATAATTAATATTACTATGTATAAAATATAGTCCATGTAATATGTGTTACATGTTGACTTATGGCATTAATAAAACCCTTGCTGGTGCTGTATATTACATTTGTACAATCCACGTAATCAACTGCCCCAAAAGTGAAGTCTATAAAACATTAAATACCACTTCCCAAGAAATAAACTCACGCAATTACTGGGGTTTATAATACATATTTATAATTGTTTTATGTTTTCTAAAGACAAAAACTGCATGCTAAGATAACATGGAAAGCATAAGTTATTCCGTATATTCATACAGAATTACAACCGGATTACAACCTTTACTCAACAAATGGGATTGTTTGAATTTTTTTTCTTTTCTTGTAGAGACAAGGTTACTCTGTCTTCCTCTTGTTTTTCTTGGCTCCAAAACCATCAAGCAGATTTCCCACTAAAGCTGAGGACACATTACAAGATTTTGGCCAGATTTTCCCCCTTGATTATATAGTTGAAGTGTGCACCAGTTGGGGACAGTTGGCGTGGCAAATTGGTACAAAAATCTGTCAGTGCATGAAAGGTAACAGCTGAAAGCAAATGGAATTATTTAGTGTAAGTTGATTTCTGAGTCCACTGTGAACAAAACAAATCAAAAAGAGAGGATGGAATACACAAGGAATAGTGAGTTATATAGTCTGTGTTTCTGTGTCAGACCGTTGTTGTGTGTAATCGCCAATTACACACAACAACAAAAACGTTAGCTGCAACTAGTCTGTTTTTAGTCATGTATTTCAAGGGTTTGTTTTTTTGTAAATATGTAAAGAGTGTAAAAGGTTATGTAGTGTGTGCTTAAATCTATTATTACAATTTAAGTAATAAAATTGACCTGAGTAAACAAGGCAAAAGATAACATTGTGATAGTGATGATCCGTGATCTGTGCCAGGCAGCAGTAAAAGACGGAACTCAGAAGGTGCAAAGAAAAAGATTGACCAGAAGAGGGAGACATATGTCAAAAAGTGAAACGAGTCGATACATACACAAATAAAATAAAATAAAATAAAATAAAATAAAATAAAATAAAATAAAATAAAATAAAATAAAATAAAATAAAATAAAATAAAATAAAATAAAATAAAATAAAATAAAATAAAATAAAATAAATTGTGCTACCATTGATAAAACCACAATAAAAACACACAAAAGGATTGATTTTCATTTACTGTGGTTTGTTTTTCAAATATGAGTTAATTGGTATGTAATGCACCTTTGAATGAGACATCTTTCTTACATTTTTAATATATCTTCCTATGGAAATGTTTTGATGAAACCATTCCTAACTTTAGTTTTATCTTGATCTTGGGTCAACAGCCTCAATTCTGTACAGATTTTGTTACAAACTTCAGGTTGAAGTTGATCTTTCTTTCCCAAAACACTTCTTACATCAATGCACTATGTGTTACCCATGAAGTTCAGTAAAATACTCTTTTCATGAAAAACCAGTTACAGTTGAGGCGAGACGTGGGGGAGGCAAGATATTCAATGTAGGCGATGACATAGAAGTAGAAAAAGTCAGACTGAGTAGGAAGTGACTCTCTGCAAGACTGGAGAAAACTGGTACAAATGTTGTTATCCAGTCAAATGAATCACTGAATGAAACCCTGTGATGTATTATTGGGTCAGGACCCAGCATTAACAAGTCAGTAATTTAGAAAAATCTAATCTTCTTTAAATGTTGGATTTGACAACAGTGGTATTGTCCGATCCCAACAACCCGTATGACCCACATTTTTTGAATTTGGTCATCTTGTGATCCGTGTCACCTTAGTTTTTTAAGATGTTTTGTAAAAGTCTACTGCAGGACTGTGAAAATCCCTTGATGACCGTATTATTTATTTTCGTCTGGACAAAGGCCACACGTGGTCTTAGTCTTCTAGACAGTGAAATTGCTACTTAGCAGTAGCGTGCCATCAAGACCAGCAAGGCCTTCTGTGCTGGCCTGAACTCATCTCTGCTCTGTTTCAGCCTCATGTGTTGCCAGGGTGGGGCCTAAGGCCTTCAGAATCAGTAGTGCAGGACCTGGGAGCCTAAATTGAATGGCAATAAGTTTAGCCAATCAGATTTTGAGTTGGCATTAAACAAAGCCTTAAAGCATCAAGATAAATTACATGTAAAAATCATGCATAAAGGCTAAAATGCTCATTTTCATCATCAAATCAATCATTTTCTATGCCATCTATTGGGAAAATGTGGGTATTGCAGGGAAAATGCAGAAGTATAATGATATAATATAAATAAATTATATAATTTGGAAAACTTTGCCCGGCCGGATTAAAAAGCTGTACGGGCTGCATCCGGCCCCCGGGACTTAGTTTGCCCATGCCTGGATTAAATGGTCGAAGAACATAAAGTCTAACAAAATGCACCTAGCGACCTGCGTGCTCAAATATTAAGCTTTCTTTGTGTTCACTGTCAAGCGGACGTTCTCAGCCTGAAGCTAATTAATGCGTTTGCCATAAATGCGATGACTTTAGCATTAGAAGGGATGGAGATGGAAAAGGACTTCTTGTTAGAGCAATTGAACTCATCTTAAGCGGAGAGAGGAGGATTTTGTGTCCGACTAATTAGAAGTTTTGGTGAGCAAATACATCTTTTATTTTTAATAATATTGTAATTTTATATTGTTGAATGTTTTTTGATGTACATTAGGTCTTAGCTGTGGCTGAATTGTGCTTTATGGGTTTGTTGCTTTAGTATTAGCATTAATATGGCTACATGAATTAGCCTGGATAGAATGACTCGTTATATTACATTTGACGTCCTTAAGATATGTTATTATTTATTCAGGCAGGACACCACTGAAGGCCTTGCTGATAAATACACAGCACCCCACCGCTACTTAGGCACTAACCAAATATTTAAGTAAAATCAAAGCATTTTCTTTCAGTAAACACATTTTATTTGGTTTGGTAGCAAAAAACAGCACCTTGGGACAAGAGTTGAAGAGTGGGCAGCCTCCTAAGGCTTGGATCAGTTCAGTTACACGACACGCACAGGAAAGACATGCACTACCTACTGTGGCAGGTGATTTAAGACAGGAGTTTAACCTTAACATCAGTGGAGCACTGCTTTAGTACATTCACATTCCGCTGACAACACCACAGTCCACAGTTGGAGAGACAACAACCCTTTATGGCAACAGCTGTTGCCTGGGGTCGAGGAAGCGTTTCGTTCTTTCTACTAATGCAATTTTTTTTTAATTTTTTTTTGTGTCATTCTATCATAAAACTGATTGAGCGAAAACAGCAAGACTTCAGGCTATCAGGTGATCAATTCTTTGGTCCCTTTAAGATCTTTGGTAGTGTTTGTGGAAAAAAAAACAGGTTAAGACTTTGTCCGAGGGAGGCTGGTACAAGCATTTTACTTCAAAATTGGTTGGTGTTACAGACAGTTTGGGGGTGAATTGTGAGTACAAAACTACCAGAGGAGAGGAGAGGTTCAAAGCAGACGGGCAGCTAACACTTCTACAAACTAGACAGCTCAATCCTCGATGACTTCGGAGGACTCGGACACCACTCTGCCGTCCCTGGTCTCGATCATTTTGATGACGACGTTCTTCTTGGACTGGGTGGTGCTGTAGCCACCGGAGCTGCCGCCGCTGAAACCGCCCGCGCTGCTGCTGTATCCGCCACTGCTGTAACCGCCGCCGCTGCTGCTGAAGCCGCTCCCATAGCCACCGCCGTAGCCACTGCTGTAGCCGCTAGAGTAGTTGCCAGAGTAGCTGCTCTTGTCCATGGGGTATCCACCACCGTAGCTTGCTGTTGACAGAAACAAACTTTGCACTGTAAAATCTGCAAAAGAAGTTTTGTAGACTTTTTGGGGGGTTTCTAGAAGACTATTTATCTTTTAGCGCTTTCGGTGAGAAGTCAAACGTCAAAAATCTCAAACCCATGATTAAACTACCAAAGTTAGAAATGACACACATAATGGAGAACTGTCACTGGACTTGATGGAGTCTATTTACATGTCACCCTCCTTGGTTAGAAGTAAAACATCATCTACAAAGCTCAAGAAATTAGAGAAACTTCTCTTACTTTCCTGGTTAGATGTCAGGTTAGCCGGACCAGTACGATGTTTTGTTTTTTGTTTTTTAAGCAAAGAAGTACAAGTATGTAGGAAAAAATATTCCTATTGAATAAAATGTAATTTCACAAAGCATCACAGACATGACGTTTGTGTATTTTTTTACTCTCAAAATTCATCAAGCGGACCGAATTAATGCCCCTAGTGGGACGATTTTGGTCTGCGGGCCATATGTTTGACAGCCCTGCTTTAGCCTGTTGGATGAGTGTCTGATGTTTTCAAGAAACTGAAGCAAGTCCAAGTGCAGACTCTTACACTTATTTGTAATGTAGGTGACTTACTGCTCTGTTGGGAGATGTTGATGGACTTGATGCCAGTTGCCAGTCTGTCTTCCTCGCCCTCCAGCAGTTTCCTGTAGGTGGCGATTTCAATGTCCAGAGCCAGCTTGACATTCATCAGGTCCTGGTACTCTCTGATCTGACGGGCCATGTCTTGTTTTGCCCTCTGCAGAGCGTCTTCCAGGTCCTTGATGCGGGCTTTGGCGTCCTTCACTGCCATTTCGCCGCGTTCTTCAGCCTCGGCAATTTGAGACTCCAGGTTTGCACGCTGGGGAACGATTTTTTTTTTATTAGGTTTGTCCTCATGAACCAATCATTTACTTTTTCAACTTGATTCATACCTGTCCCTTGACGGAATCAATCTCTGCTGTCAGCCTCTGGATCATGCGGTTCAGGTCGGCGATCTCTGTCTTGGTGGATCTCAGGTCGTCTCCGTATCTGCTAGCAGATGTCTGTATCTCCTCAAACTAAATTTTTTTTTAAAAAATTGCCAAAATCAGTTTTTTCAAACTTAAATTTCCGTATCTGCTAGCAGATGTCTGTATCTTTTCAAACTAAATTTAAAAAAAAAAATTGCCAAAATCAGTTTTTCCAACTTAAATTCTCTAGATAACAACTAATATTTATTGTAAACAAAGGTCCAAACTCAGGAGTGTTTATCCATTACCTTGGTCCTGTACCATGTCTCTGCTTCAGCGCGACTACGGTTGGCGATGTCCTCATACTGTGCCTTAACTTCAGCCACAATAGAGTCCATGTCCAGGTTACGGCTGTTGTCCATCTCCACAATAACTGATGTGTCCTTGATTTGGCTCTGGAGCTCACGCAGTTCCTGAAGGGGACAGAAGTAAAAAGAAAGAGACACAAAATGTCAAACATCACTATCTTCTATTTCAGAATCATATCGATCTACTTTTGTGGTTTTGAAAGTCTCGTGGGTAAGTCTGTAGCCTGAGGTTGCTAACTGGCTGGTTTTTGGTATCGTACCTCCTCGTAGATTGACCTGAGGAAGTTGATCTCGTCTGTCAGACTCTCCAGCTTGGCCTCCAGTTCAACCTTATTCATGTAGGCCTCATCAACATCCTGGGAGCAGAAAAGTGTTGGTTAGACTATAGTATAGTGACATTGAAAGACTTAGCCAAGACCTTCTTTAGATTACCATTTATACCTGTTTAAGAAGTATTTTGTTTTTTTTTACATTTTAGACCTTTTTAGTGTTTTTGTTTTCTTAATGCTATAACAAAATTAATATTATTGTAACAAATAATTCATGTAGCTAATTAATGCTAAGCTACTTGCTACATGTTTTGTTTTTGGTACTCGTTTTAGCTTACTTTTGTGGCTAACCAATGGGTAACTTCTGGTTTAATGTTTACTGATATATTTCACTTTAACATTACAGGTCAATAGTCATTTTTATATCTTTGTTTTTTAAAGATGTAGTTCAAACATCTGGTATGTTTTTATTTGTTTCCCTGTCTAAGTTTTAGCTAATTTAAACCAAAGTTTAGCTTGATAGATTTAGCTTCCTGATGTTTCCCGTCATGTTGTGTCTTCAAGATGCGTGAAACAGTTCAATCGTTTTGTGGTAATCTGTCAAAAACTGTTTGTTTTCAATTTTTTACAACTGTAAATGTAAATAAAATGCTGTAAGTTAATGAGTATCCTTAAGTATTACGGAATACACCGCAATCCCCAGAGAGGATTTTACCAATTGTAAAATATAACACTGTTGAGTTTTCTTCAGGTGAAGTGAAATTGAAATCATTTGGATTCTCACCTTCTTGATGAGGACAAAGTCATTCTCACATTCTGTGCGCTTGTTGATTTCATCTTCATACCTAAAAAAAAAAAGAATAAAATCATTAGTTTGGTTCCTTTAAGAACCGCCACATCTCCTCTGTCCAGGGACTATACCCTGATGCAACACTAGGAGGCACAGTTAGTCCACTTCTTAGCTCTCTTAGGTCAGTTTACGTCACACTGCCTGTATTGTTAACTCAGGTCCAAAACCTGAAACGTGTTACTGACATTTTCCCCTCAGCTCTGTCTGTAGCTGACTAACAGCTACGTGAGCGCCTATCCATTCTACAGGGGAGGACATGCACGTTCCAAATACAGACAGCTGTGTTGCTGATGTGCATTCGCATGCATTCAAGTAGGTTTTTATGTCCTCCAGTCAAATGTAACATAATCTTTGCTCAGAACATGCTTGTTCCGTGCTGTAATTCCCTGGAGTTAATGTGACGCAAGGCAGCGGACAGATGTAGGGAGGAGTACTTTAGCCCAAAAACTGTCCCGAAGCACAGATATGAAACTTGAAAACATCCCAGCAATCATTAAAAAGGCTCTTCAGTCTCCACATGGGAGAGGGACGTATTGATGCAACCCTAAAGATCCCACTGTAAGCCCTCGTTCAGACTCACTTGTTCTTGAAGTCCTCCACCAGGCCCTGCATGTTGTGCAGATCAGACTCCAGCTTCATCTTGTCGTTGCCCAGACTGTCCAGCTGTCGGCGCAGGTTGGAGATGTAGGCCTCAAACATGGCGTCGATGTTGGAGCGCGTGGTGGTCTGTCCCTGCAGCAGGTTCCACTTGGTCTCCAGCATTTTGTTCTGCTGCTCCAGGAAGCGCACCTGAAGGCAACACAGATGAGATGAGAAGGGGAGAAAAAAAAGGGACAACGTAACCGAGGCTTTAATTTGACTAACCCATAATTATCATTTTATGACTTCTCTTGTTGTTCTCATCCATATTTGGTGATTTGCAAAGTTCACGAGAATTCCGATTGCCGTCATTGTTTCGCCAAATGAAAAGCAAGGCCCGTATGACGCGCTCTGCCTGAATGCTAGTCCACGCTGGAAATATCCAGACATGGAGGAAAGGAACAAGTTAACCCCCGTGTCTCATTGCATTCCTTCCTGTTTTTGTGCTGCGAGGGAAGTCAAATATGAATGAGAGATGCACACAGAGACGCGAGGAGGGCGGTGTTGCCGGTGGAGGTTACATCCGCAGGCCAATGCGGGAGAGTAAATATTTAACAGAGCCGAGGTGTGACGGGGGTAGAGTTGGAAAAAACAAAACAGGAGTGTGGAACATGAAGGCCTTTTAGCTTAGTAGTAGAGGAGGAGGAGGAGGAGGAGGGAGATTGTGGAAGGTAGAAGAGGAACAGGTGGTTTGAAAGTTGATCTGAAACACAATGAAGTTCACCCTTAAACCACTCGCTTCATTTCCAACCGTGAACCTCTGCTTTTTTTTAAGCTAAACTGAAGTTCATCTACAACAAGAGCTTGTCATCTGTGCGTGTGTGTGTGTTCATCCACGTAGAGCGTGAGAAGGAGAGCTGTGACGCAGCCAGGAAAGGACCAGAACATGAAACTGATGCAGCTTCTAAAATATTAACTGTCCGCCGAGGCCGTTGGTGAAGACAAAGACACTTGTGTGAGTTTCTCCAAATACAAAGGCACGGCAACTTTGTGTCAGTGGAGTGGATTATGAGTTAGTGTCGTGTGCACACGCCCAGTAGAGTCTGGTTTTTTGTGTCACTGCAAAAAAGAGCGTACTGTCATGAAAGAATGACACATTGGCTGCGTTTGTGTTTTGCATGTGTGTCAATGGGGAGGGGTGTGGGCCACCAGTGCTGCAGATTCAGCCACACCCCAGCTGAGGGAGGGGCCAGTCCCAAGGTAACTGGTATCACAAGCCCCAAACTGTGTCCTGACACACCCTTCTCTCTCTCTCTGTCTTTCTTTTTTGCCAGTCTTTGTCTCTCCTTTTCTCCACGTCTGTTTTTCATCACCACAACCACTGAACGGCGGCCAGCACGTCGAGCACAGACCATGCCCTGAGGTTTAATCATTTCTGCATTCGTGCAAAGGCAGTAAATCAAGTTTCAGTGGAAATCAGCGTTTGGTGACATGTGGTAAACATATGGCCTCACTATCAAACGTTACATAACAATGTCAAACTGTTTCAAAGCTGAATCAAGCAAACTTTTGTGTGGCTGGAATAAAGAGGAAGAGCTCAAGGCAAAGGAGAAGGAGAGTTTCAGAAACCAGTTTTCCTGACTTTGAATGAATACATGCCGGGTCTTGTGGACTTTTGAACTCTTCTGCTTCTTACCTTATCAATGAAGGAGGCGAAGCGGTTGTTGAGGCTCTTCATCTGCTCCTTCTCCTGGGTGCGAACCACTTGGATGGCGGGGTCAATGGCCAGGTTCAGGGGGGCCAGCAGGCTCTTGTTCACAGTCACAGCAGTGATGGGTGCCTGGGCGCCCATGCCACCACCGTAGCCTCCCCCCATGCTAGAGCCCATTCCTAATCCCATTCCCATTCCCATTCCCATACCTGCACCGCCGCCCATGCCGGAGCTCAAACTGTAGGCAGAGGAGCTGGTGATTCCAGCTCCTGCACCTCCGAACCCTCTGTTGCCTCCTCCGTAGGCGCTCTTGACACTGTAACTTCTGCGGGACATACTGCCTGGTCCAGTGTAGGATAAACTGCTGAAGTTCCTGGGTGCAGAGGAGGACCTCACGCTGTAAGAGCTGGTCTTGTAGGAGGACATTCTGTTCACCTGGTGGTAACTTTTCTCTTCGGAATGAAACAAGCCTGGAAAGATCAAACCGAACTACTCGGTTGGCAAGGCAGGCAGGTAGAGGGGGAGAGACCAGAGTGGGTAGAACAGAGGCGAAACTTCACAGGAGTTTTAAAGCCTGTTGATGTTGGGAGGAGCATGCACTGCACTGCCATTGGCTGCAGCAGCTGGGAGAGAAGGAGGCCGGCCTTGTAACCTTACACTTGTATGACACATCCTCCAGTCACTCAAAACCCTCACCTGGACTTTCTACAGGCTTCTTCATGCTGCGCTGGAGAAAACCTTATCTTCACAGTGGGTTGTGAAGCAGAGCAGCTAAACTCTGCTCTTTATCTCTTCTCTCCATCTGACCCCCATTCCTTTTCTTGTCTTTATTCAAACGTGCAGCAGGCTGACTCAGCGAGTCAATTCTAAATATCTCATCAAAATTCCTGCAGACTGCTCTGTGTGTTTGGGAGCTGAACGGCCTCTAATTCTGGCCCTGCATATAAACACTGTGGGAGACATTTCGCATGAACCCGCCTCATGGTTATGGTGCACTGGTTCCTTTTTGCATTTTATTATTCTGGTTCTCCAGGATTTCTGTTAAAGTTCACGTTGATGCAAAGCTGAGTAATAAGTGAGACCTGTGTGGGTTTTTCTGGCTGGTTTTTAGTTCCTTAAAATCCATACGACAACTGTGTCAGTCAGCCTGTTGGTGGTGCACTCGGTGATACTAGTGTGATATAAGCCGGGGTCACTGACCTGAAGATAAAGTCTCCTCAAACACGTACCATCAAGATGGTATTTTAAGCCCTCGCTGTGTGTGCGAATAGTGCTTAAGCGAATGGACGGTGGAGTAATTAATTTCTAGTTCAGTCTGTTTTGAGCCAAGGCACACTAGGAAAAACACCACAGAACAAAAATCTCACCTATAATAATCTTCCAGTTTACGTTTACTCACAATTTACTTACATTTCGGCCTGTTTAGTCGAATACAACGGTGATACACTGGCAGGAATTGAAGAAAGACACTCACAAAGATCTTCTTCAACAGCTCTGATTCTCTTTTTTTTTTTACTTTTTACAGTCTTCTGCTGCCACCTAGCTGAAGAATATTTCATTGTTCTGCCTGTCACGCATTGACGTGACATGAAAAATTATTTTGCAATAAATCAATAATACTTTTCTAACCAATTAGCAAAGGAAAAATATTGTTAACAATAAATGATCAACTGTGCAGTACAGCAGATTTGCCATGCGAAACTTCGAAATATTTTTTTGTGCACTTCTGGTTTGGCAGAGAGAATACTTACACATGAGGGGACCATGCAAACGCCACAAAGAAATGTTTTCTGCCTAACTCGGGGACCAGCGCTAATTACCAGTGGAACTTAAATTACAAGGACTGGGGAGGCTGTGTTTGTCAGATGTTTACAGTTTGACAAAAAGGCAGAATGGGAATGAACTTCCAGTTCTGTGTGTTGGCCTAAAGCAGTGGCCCCGGTTTCGGACGGATTCTAGAAAAGTCTACTTCTGCCCACTGTGATGCACATCTCTGAACTGCAAAAAAATGATACACTTCCTCTTACTTTCATTCTAAACACACATTAGTCTGAAAAAAAACTTTGATATGATTAAAAACAGTATTCAACACTTCAGCTGCGGTTTAGTGGAACGCATGGTTTTCTACAAACTGGAGGGTTTGGGGTTCGTTTCCAGACTTTTGAGTATATATAGGTTTAAATTATTAGTTTAAAGTTTAAAATTTTAAAACCCTAAGAAATGAGGAATAAAATGTAGAGATTTTTGCAGCACAGTAATTCCATGGTTGGTCATACCTTTGTTTGTGTTGGTTTTATTTCTTGATTATTTACTGTAAATATAATGTCTGGTAATTATAGTCAGAGTAGTTGAGATTTGACTTCATAAGCGTCCATTTTGAAAAAAAAAATTCTTGGAATTTTAGGGCCCTTAGTCTGACCCCCCTCACTAATAGCTAATAGCTAATTGTTGCCTTTGCTTCACCAGATGTGTCAGTTATGATGCAAAAGAAGTTATCCTGAGTGCTGGGATACAGGAATGTCAACAGGTGAGGAGTTCTAAACACACCTTTTTTCTGACCTACCCCTACATGTGGTTCTATTGCTTGGCCCAGATGGAACTTGTAGACCAGCCCAAATGGACCCATTATTTTTAGCTTTTTTTTTTTAAACAACATAAGGCTACATCTTTAATCCAGAATATAGGATTTATACATTTATTGTTGGATGGAACAGTTATGCCCCAGGACTGAGGGTGGGTCCTGACAATTTGGAGGAGTGTCTGTGGTTTCTGATGAACTCCCCTGGCTGCTGCTGCTGCTGCGGCTGCTGCTGCTGCAGCTCTACGTATAACACACACCACATGTCCTGGTCTCCAACTCATATCTGCAGAGCAGGTGAACGTCAACACAATGTGCTTTTCATTACAGTTCACCGGGAGGCATATTTTCCTGAAGATGACACTACAAATTATAATAATAATTAAAAAAAACTGAACAGGAATGTAAGAGTTTATTAACCTCCGGAGCAATGATAAAGTGTTGGCCCTCAGCCAAACCAAATATACAATTCTTACTACAGAAAATAATGACATTAAAATGATGTAGTGGCACAGGAATATATCGCAGATATGTTTCTCATGAATAACGTCACACCCTGTCCTCATATGGATACAAGCAAAAGACATTTTCATAATCGTATCGGGTTTAACTATGACAAAAATATCAGTGAGTAATGGTGTATTTTTATTTTGATGTATTTCTATCAATTTCTATTCCTCAGTTCTTGTCTCTTCTGTATTGTAGCTGGAAATATATATTGAATCTAGTGTCATCAGAACTGATCTAGTCTAGTGCAATCCAATCAAATGAAGGCCGAAGGTAGAGAAAGTAGAGGCTACTCTTATCTAATTTAGTCTAATCTGATCTAATTTGGTGTAATCTAATCTGATCCAATCTAATCTAATCTTATCTAATCTAATCTAATCTAATCTAATCTAATCGAATCTAATGCTGATGCTGTCTTTTTAGGTTAAATCTGTCTTGTCCTTGTGGTCATCCTAGTCGCTGACCTTTACTCCAAACCAATCCCTGCCCTTCATCCCGATCCTCCCTTCCTTCATTTCCTCCTGCACTCCTTCACCATTGTGACTCATGATTGCTGGCATCTACCACTTGTCCTCCTCCTCTCCTCCCCTTCTTTCCCCTCAGTTCATTGCAAACCTTCTCCTCGTTTTTTCCCCACCGGTGCCTTATTTTGGCCCCACTTTACTATGGAAACAGGCAGGAAAAAAACAACACTGCCATCTTCTTTTCTGGGGCCAGTGTGAGCCCAGACGCCAGCTCGGGGCCAAGAGCGGAGCATTTCTCCTCTGCTCTGCTCTGGCAGCTGTGAACCCAGTAGAACTCAGTAGAGAGACAGACCTGACTCTGTGCTAACACTGGTGTGATGTTGTAAATCTAATGTTTGAGGGCGGAGGTTTGAAAATCTGCTGCATCATGAGAATTGCGAGTCAGGAGTGTTTAGTTGTGAAATCCACATGACAAACTATCACCAGATTTTTTATTTATCATTTTTAGATTAGGAACAGGCAGAAATTTGGTTTTGATGCATCAGGACGTTCATCTAATCTGACTATAAATTAATTTAACATTTTTTAAGAGATTCAGAATCACCGTAGATTGGAGGATTACTAATTCATGAAATCATTAATTAAAGTCAGATCAATTGATGTAGGCTGAGGAATGTGAAAATGAACTGTTCAGAATATACAGTTTGATTTATTAGCAACACACTGTACATCTAGACTAGGTGTATCAAATATACAGCTCGCGGGCCAAAAACGGCCCACTAGGGCGTTCATTCCGGCCCGTTTGATCAACACTTGATGTTCATGTTGTTTTGTAAAATGATATTTCATTAAATATGGAAATTAAATATACTTATATACTTAAATATACAATGGCCCACACTCAACCGTTGCTTTGTTTGTTTGTTTGTTACAACTTGTCAACTGCTCCTTAATGCTAACTTCTCAGTGGGATTTAAAATCAAGATGTTTCAAACAAATACCATCAAGGATTGTAGAGTAAAAAAAAAAAAAAAGGCCAGTTTGCAGCAGTTCTTCTAGTGGCCACCGTGCAGCTTGTCGCGGTTGTCGTGTCCGTCGTAAATCGTTCAACTGAAAATGTGTGAAAACTGTCGTGAACGTGTCATTAGTCTCTCAGTCCTGGTCGAATTCCTAAATCTTTGGTTAGGGCTCATGTTGAAGGACTTTTGCCTCCGGACTGTACCTTCTTGTATCTTCTCAGCAGATAAGGGACAGACATTTTAAATGTCACAGATAACCACTGATCTGGTCATTTTTTCATCATCAACTCCATCTGTGGCTGTGATGATGATGTCAGCCGCTCTGTTTCAGGCCTTTACTCCACAGAGCGTGTTATCACAGTAGATACAATGGATGCCTTTCATTCCATTCACCTTTAATCTCCACAGTTCAATCAGGACCGGTCACACGGTCACATTATCGCCATCCGTCAACGCGACGCCGACAACCTAAAGATGACGACACTGCAGCATCTGTCAATCATACGCTCTGCTGTTGAACTGCGTGCAAACTGTACACAAACTCTCTATGAACCTGTTGTTGTCACAAGGGCGTCTATAAAACTCACTGCGTCACTGCGGAATTGCCCCAACGTTTCTATACGCTGGGGTTATTGTAGCTAAAATCACAATGTAAATCACGCTGATACATTGACAAATTCCAGATTAGGAAATCAAGATTACGCTAACCAACCTGCAATAATTGCACTGTTTTCGAGTAATTAAAGAAACTTTTCAACCCCCGAGGAGACTTGCTATTTGGAATCTATTCTCAAGGAATATTTTATCATTCGTACGGTGAATTCTTTACTCCATATTTTCCTGGTTATGAAACACAGACACAACTGTCAGGCCTTTGCGGAAAAAGGAAATGCAGCTAAAACATATTTGTTCCTTTAGCAAAAGCCTAGTCTTTATATCCTACTGCACTATCAGGATGTCCTCACACTGACCGTCCCTA